TCGAAAAGCCACTTTTCTCGAAAAGCCACTTATCTAAGACTCTAGCCCTCGAGCAAACATCGCTGCAGCTTTGCAGCTAGGCGTTGGCAAGCGTTGTACCCATATCCGCCTCCAGGGCGGAAGAAAAGGGCACGTGCGCAAGGCATGAAGTCCAATCATCGCACCCACAGAGGCATGGGTGATTGAGGCCACGGTGACGGGCAACACGGCCATCCAGAGACATGTCCTTGAACGACCGTGAGACACAGTCAGAAGTGAAACCAGATTCGTCATCACGATATCAACTTGCAAGTGCGAATCAAACAACACCAATCACACAAGGAGCAATCAAACAAAGTAAGATCACTAGTCCTCACGCGCCCCCTCAGAGGATGATGGATCATGGGTCATTTCACATCTCACACGCCGATGCATCACGGGGATGGTGGCCACACCTAGCCAATGTCACGGCAGCCACAAAACATGGATGTGTGGCCAGCGATGCAATTTTTTTTTGTTCAGATGCCTCAGCCTAACGCGCGCCAGCCGACGCTGTCGAGGGCCGGGCGTACACAACGATGCCTGCCACGCTGCACAACGCAGAGGTTGCTACCGGGACCCAAGCCAAATGTTTTTTTTCACACACGCCTTTTTACTTCGGCAGCCGTCTCCGACGCTCAGCGCAGCGGCAGGCGGTGGGTCCCTCCGCGTCAGCTCGAGCCAGGACCTCTTCCAACTCCTGCGCCGCGGTCAACGGGCCCCAGCAGGACCCGTGCGCGTCCAAGGGCTGTGTGGCCGACCGCCTGCTTCACGGGGACAAAGAGCACGCTACACCAGCGACCGGCCCAGTCGGGGTAGGTGGCGTGTTTACGCCGTGCGGCGACCCTCAAGACAGCCCCATCCGCCGCCGCCGCGCCAGGGTGGGGCGTGCCATCGCGGTTCAAAGGCGAAACGAAGGTCGCGTCGCAGCAAAGGGCTCCGCCCAGCGGCGTGGCCCCGTAGATGACGAAGTCCAGGCGTCTGCGGTCCTCAGGCGCTACCCCCCGGCGCGGTGGTGTGGACGAGCCACTGGAGCACCGACGACTTCGCGGGCCACCGTGCACCATGCTTGCTCTACGGAGCCAGAGCGGGAGTCGGAGCCGCGATCTGCATTGCCTCGGGGTTGAGGGTGGTGTGGGGGTCGCTTGGGATGGCTTGGAGCCAGGCAAAGGCATTTGGATCGCAAGAGCGCGCGATGGGACGGCGGCAGGGAGGGCGGATGGCGGCAGGGAGGGCAACAACACGCGTTCCGTGTACGCGACGCACAGTGTTGCCACCCATGCCTCCACTCACCGGGCTCGGCGGTCCCTTCCTGTCGGTCGGGTGGGCTCATGTTTTTTTCAATATGGTTCTGTCCCACCACCGCGAAACATGCCACTGGCGAAACAATGCAAAAAGTGTGGGCTTTTTCTCTCTTTTGTCACGCCAGGGTGTCGCCTGGGCTTTGCGCTTTCTGCACTGGGATCGCATGCAAAAAATGCCAATCGCGAGCCTGATTGCAAACCCAGAACTCGTTGCCGGGAACGAGCGAGTCCGCGCGCAAACTGGGCATTAACCGCGAGCTGCGTGCTGTGTGATAAGTTCCGCCACACACGTGCACCGGCCTCCTGGCAGTCCTGAGCTCCTCGAGGCCGGAGCTGGTGGCTCGATGCCCTGCGTACTCATCGAGCAGACCGCGGCCGGTGGCAGGAGCAAGCACGCACACACTCGCCGCAGGAGCAGGACGCGGAAATGCGCGTCAGGCACGGCAAACTATTGCCACGATATCTCAGCAGCTTTCATCCACCCCCTCACCCAACCCAGGCAGCAACGAGGCGCTGTCGAGTTTTCGGGCACGAAATCGGAAGCTGCCAGCTTGCTTCGCCGCGGTTGGCAAAAGCCTTGCGCAAAGCGGAAGTGCCTGCCGCCGCCTATGCGCTTTGCCTCTCGCGCCGCCTACGGCCCTGCGCAAGTCCATTGGCGGCGTTCGCGGCGTCGGTACCGGTGACGTTCTCCGGCGTGGTCTCCATGGCGCTGGCTCGCACGATCTCGCACGTTTGCTGATGTGATCGACCGCAACGCACGCCCCTACCAGCCCTACCAATACGCCCTCACTACGTGCACCGTCGAGATAGGCCCCCAAGCTGGACGGCTGCAGTGCGTATGACAACCGCACTGCCATCTTCCGCAAGTTTCGGGATCCGACACCCCAGCTCGTGCCTTTCGTGCGCAGCGTGTACGCGCGCACGTCATGTATCCTGTGGTGGACGCCGATGGTCCGGTCCACGAAGTGTTGCAGGCCAAGGGCATGGAGCAGGGTGACCCGCTGGATCCGCTGGTGCCCCCCTTTATGCTTTCGGCCAGCACGCTGCCTTGCACGGAGGGGATATGTGCGAAGGCGAATTCCTCGCAGCAGCGGTCTTTGACGAGCTGCACATCGTCACATCTCTTGAACGGGCAAGGGAGCGTCTCGACACCGTCACGGCCTGTGTCGAACTGGATGCAGGCGCCACCCCAGCAAAATGATTATCCCAGCTTGCATTATCTGTATGGTCCATCCACCTGTCCCACCCCGTTCAATGCTGTACGAAATCCACGAATGCATCCTTCGCGACGTCAAAAAAAATGTACTCGGTCCAACTGGTAATGAAGCGTGCAAAAGCTTCGAGTCTTCGAGCTGCGTGCAGCAACGCTCGCGAGGTCTACCAGGAACACTCTATTTGGCGACCAACTCATCCCACACTTAACCCGCCTGGCCATAGCAGTCAATTCTAAGCCCACTGCGGGCAGCCTCCTCAAACACAGCTAGCGCCTCCGGCAACTCTCCATCGCTGACAAGGCTATGCACAAGGCCCTCAACGCATGAAGGATCCCGTTACTGTAAGACCGGGAGGGCGTCAGCACTGTCCGGACAGCGCCGCGCAGACTGAGACCCCATGGCGAAGGGCGAGTTGCGAACGGATCACCATTTGCCCGGGCAAACCGTATGGTGCGCGCCAAAAGTCGGGCCAGAGGGTGTTGCAGGGCACGTAGTGCTGCGCGCAAACCACGGCTGAACGCAGGTCTTAAAGGGTCACCTTGTTCGACCCATTCTCTTTCGTGAAGGCGTCGTGTGCAGTCACCCTGTTGCCACACGTAGGTCGAGGTGCGGCCGATCCAAAGGCATGCAAACGGCAGAATGAATGACGCCTCTGCAACTCACACAACACGAATGCCGATGCCATCACAAGCGGCGGCTGCATGCGAGACAACTGTGAGTTGGCGGGCCTGCACTTCATGGATTACGGCTTCTGGGCCAATGCGGCTGCCCAGTGCGAATTGGTGCGGGCGACACGCATCCGCAAGCGTGTTTACAAATTACTGTGCAAGCGCGCGGGAAACCACATGGACAACGAGTCCGCGTGTGCCACCATTGGGCTTGCGCAGCGCGACAATGCGTCCAAGTCCAAGGGCTGGCACGAGGTCTGTTGCATAATTGCGATGCAGCATCAGAAAAGGCGACGGCACCCTACAGGGCTGAAGTCCAAGGCAGACGCCCGTGGATGTGCATCTACTGGCTTGTGGCTGGCAAGTTCGCACCCATGCAAGGGCCGCTTACGGGTGGAGTCGCTCCACTGGTGCGTGCAGCAGTGGGACAGTGTGGGGGCGGGCACCGGTGGAGCCATGCTGCGTCCGCTTGTGGCGGAGGGTGCCCGGGCGTTGTTTCAAGAACTGTCATGAACATTCTGCCCGAAGCACCTCTGAAGTCCCAGTGCAAGTGGCCGCGAACCAGCGGGTTGAACTACGCAGCTGCGAAAGTTGGCGTCGAGCGGTTGGGTACAGTAAGCTCGCTGCCATGCGTCTATGAAGTGACAATCGGCGCCGTGTCGGAGTCGGATTGGGGCTGGCCACCGTCTTCTTGGCATTATGTTTGCTGCATGTCGGATCGACCGATTGCAGCCGTGAACCTCAGTCCTGCCAACGCTGACTGAAATGAAGTAGGCTCGTGCCTTGCAAAAAGACATGTTGGCGATTCATGTTCTGGAGGGCGGCCCAGGTTGAATTGACATTTTGAGATTCTGTCAAGCATCTGAAACTGGGCGAACGTGGCAGGAAAGTGCCATGTAAGAACGAGCCTCGCCAATCAAGACACCTGTGTTCCAACTTTCACAAGCTTTCACACAACTTCCTGTTCCAGATGCCTCAGCAAGGCAGGACTGAACAAAGGTTGTCATGTGTCGCGATGTGTCGCCATTTGTCGTGCGATGATTTTTTGAAAACAATAACGCCCATAACGTCGAATCGGCAGTATTCGAACACAGGTGGAGATCGGTTGGGCAATGCGCACGAAACCTTGTCAGGTGCATTGTTGAGGCATCTTTGCTCTTTTCACCGACAGCGGCCGCAACACGGTCCCGACGTGTGCCGACGGTTGAGCGGGCCATTGTGATCGTGGTGTCACCGAAACATGCCAAAACCGAGCGCCTCCGCTCGCCTCAGCAGGCCCTACAAAATATTTTCCGTGGCCTCCGTTTACACCAGCGTCTTGAGAACGCCTCCTCATGAAGTTGACCAGCATGTGGTACAAAAGTGTATGCGCAGAAATTCTTGAACAGTGCATAAACATTGTAGGCTGAACCGTCAACATCCCGGCCGTCATGTTGAGTTGAAGACGAAAGCCGAAGACGATGACAAGCAAAGCACCTGCAGCAGGCACTGTACCAACGCGCACAATGTGACCTTCCAACGGCCATGCACGTTCCATGGCTCACCTGCGGGCACCCAGTGCCTCCATCTGCCACTGGCCAAGGCCATCAAACTCTTGCGGCCACCATGCTTTCTGAACTATAGCATGAACAAAGCTGAAACTTCGGATATAATCTTCCTCTCGACATGATGTCTTTGCATGCCACAACCTTGAAGGTGCAAGGCTGGACAGGGGTCACGTCAAGGTGCTGAGACCATGTGGCCGAGCGTGCTGAACGTCATACATCGCGTCATGTAGTCGGGCTTAAGCACGAAACCGCAGAGCGCCACGTTGCAGTGCTCCATGCCCGAGAGCGGACCTGACCAATGATGCACTTGAATCCTGCGAAACTCACACAGACAGTTTTTGAAATCTCCTGCCTTCAACGTCCAACTGCCTCTGGGCCTTTGGACACTTCAAGCACAAAAGTGCATTGCCAAAAGAATCAAACCCTTCCTGCAGACCATGAGGCTTGCAGCAGCGATCGCATCGAACCTCACATGATACCTGCGACATGTATCCAGCTCACCAATATGTCGGACTGCTACCTATATCCAACTGGAATTTGCATCTGTCCGAGCAATGCTTTCCCGGCCTCGTAGGGGGGAGTCGCACTGATGCATCCCGCACATTAGACAGCATTACATAGTGTTCAACCCACCGTGCCGCCAACATGATTCAACATGCGGATTGAAGCCATGGGGGGGGTCGGAAGGATTATAGGAACAACAATTCTGGGAACTCTACTTACACCTGCAAAGGTCTGTGCAAAAGTGCAAAAGAGGAAACCTCAACAGATGGACCCAATTGAATTCATTTGCAACTCCTGAACGAGCAACCAAAACGCCTGTAACAAAGTGGCGTTTCTTTTCCGTTCCTAGACGAACTCCGAACTGCATCTGTTCTTGTGGCTCCGGCGCATATACCACAAGCAAACTAAACGAACAAAATGGCGCTTTTGGGCACGAAGATCGCGATCTAGCAATGAAAGGGCACGCAAGTCCCGCAAAAAGTTGCGCTGCTGCAGTCCAGGTGTGTTCATGCATGTTTCTTTGGCCCTATTGTCGACAGAATTTTCTCGATGCACTCAGGGATAGTCTGGGGGCTTCACCGCCTTTTTGTTGGTGGCCGCCGAGGGAAACCCACCAGAACCATGCAGACAAGGGGAAACAAGCGGAGACACCAGCCACGGGAACCTCGGCCTCCAACACGAAAGGAAACAGAAGGAGCCGAGCGGACAAACACAAGCCACAGGAAGCCCCGGCACGCCCATCCAACATGAAGGGAGAAAAAGGGAGACAAAAAAAAAACAAAGGGGAGACAAAGGGTGGCAAGTGGGACGCAAGCAACCGCAAAACCGACAGGCCTTTTCCGACGAGCTGGAAACCTTAGAAGGAACGGAGCGCCCCTACAAACCACGGCTTGGGGAACTTAGGCATACTTGGAGGTCGTTGGAGCTTACACTTGAAGGCATCCCACTCAGATACTGCTGAAAAACAATTCCACGAGCAGATCATACGGAATAACCTAGCCACATACCAAGAGAACGCAACAAACAACACCAACTTGAGCACGGAACATCGACATACGTGCTCCTAGGTCCAAGGAACTCGCAGGCCTGCGCCTTTGACAGATTCACTTCAAGCGATGTGGGGGATGCCCAGTTTGCTGATACTCAAGTGGTGTGCAGGGGGTTTAGGCTCAAATTACAGGAGCTTTCGGTTTCGAAATTTGGGGTTTGAGGTTTAGGCAGCTTAAGTACTTGTGAACATGCAGCAACTAATATTGATGTGGTGGTGTTATTGTGACGCTAACCATTTGGATCTGAGGGTGAAGAAGCTCTTTTGGTATCTCTCTGCATTGCCGACCAAGGTCGGATGTCCCATTGGGCTTGTGGCTGCGTGCCTGGCAAGGTTGGCAAAACCTTGCCTCCAGATTCCAAGGCTGTCATCTTACCACGACAACGTGCAGCACGAGTCTCGATGAGTGTGGACATAATCGCAACTCGACAGGGGTTTGCTTCGCCGGTGCCAGCAGAACTTCTCACAGGTTTGTGGCAGAATCCCAATTCAAACTCATCAAACTTGGCATCTGGCACTAGCTGCACGGAAGGCTCCTCGAACCTCGAGGGAGTCCTGGGAGTGTGCCACTACCCAGCATCTTCCCACTTGCGCAGCGGAGGAGAATCCCCTCGAGCTTTCAGGGTTTTGTCTTTCACCCACAGCGCACCGAAAAACGACCAAGCCGCCTGAGCTCATCCTTGCCATTGAAAGCGGCTCTTTCAAATCCAGGAACCCTACACTCCCTACGCTCCCTACACCCTACATCGACACCCTTCCAAACCCCCGATCAGGAAGTTTTCTTGCGATGTTTAGGGGAGGCCTCCACAAGCTGGAGCCGCCTCCAGAGAAGCAGAGATTTGTCGTCAGGGTTTTTGGGGCCTCTGGGGGCTCGTGAATATTCTTACAAAAAGATTTCGGAAACGGGTGGTTCTAGGATCCTTTGGCAGAGCAGCTCCATGTCTGCACATTCCCTCGGAGAAAGTCCGACGCATGTCGCTGCTAGAATTTCCGATCTTTGGAAAAAAAGAGCATCCTTCCAACTGTTCTTCGGAGTGGCTTCTATGACCTGTCAATCCTGTTCAGGCAGCTTCGATCTACCTCAAGATGCCACCCTTCTCACACTTCTCACCCATCTCATGTTCCCATCCGATTCTCGATTTGCTGCCAAGAGGGCATGCAATGGTCCAGCATCCCGCGACAGAGAAGCCAGGATGCAACTCAAGATGCCTTGCTGAAACCGCATCGCTTAGCATTGTGTAGCATTGTCTGCCACTGAGAACAGCAGTCAAGAGTCAAAGGGCACAGAGAATGGCAAATGAGTGAAACCGGCTCACGGGTCCAAGCCGTGTAGAGCAGTGGCATGCCGAGCGTTCGCAGGGCTCTCGCTGCTGCCAGTCTACACACTCCGACCGGATGTCCAGCAGGGCCTCCCGCCCGACGTGCTTGGCGGACGACGACGACTCTGACTGACAGACTGGCAGAGGCAATCGGGAGAGCGAGGAGCATGACATGCTGAGGTGGTGCACACCATTGCCAAGCCGGAGTTTTGGCGCGCTCGCTCGCCAGTCGCTAAGCATGCTGCTCAAGGCTGCAGTGTCAAATGGGAATCTCAGTTCGGAAGCTAAAACAGGGTGGTGCAGGCTTCACGTCTCAGTGGCCCACAAAATGCTAGAGACTGTCTTCTTGCATTAGCCGCCCTGCGTGGATACCATAAAGTGGGAGTGGCAGATTCTGAAGGTTTCATTGACGGCAAAGTACTTTCTCCAGCTGGGCAGGCCCAAGGGCAACCAGCACATGACATCCAGAGTGACGAAGTTTAAGAAATGGAGTCGGGAAGATGATCGTGGCGAAGCCAACTTGCTTGGAGGTGTTGCAATCCTTTTCCCCCATGCTGGAATCTCCATACAGGCAACCTAAAATCAGGGCCATGACTATAATGACTTGACGGCGGTGGTCGCCCTCAAGATTGGGGACACGTATGCTCTCCCGCCAGTGCAACTTGATCGAAGACTCTCTGCACACGTTGGACTCGGCTTGGGGGAGGCGGCAATTGAACCCCGATGCAAGTCCACAAAGAGCACGCATGGACTTGAGGTTTATATGCTTGCGCCTTCAGCCCATACCAAAACGACACAATCAGGCATCACAAGGGTGTATCCCCCATGTCAGCCGGCGCGGCGCGTGAAAATGCCGGATGCATTTTCCACGCGTGGGGATTGAAATTATTGGTCAATTTCTGGGACGTCCAAAACGCATTCTGACATGATTGCAAAATGTCCATATGCACTTCATTGCCAAGTCATGTTTCTTGCAGAATCCTACGTTTCACAATCAGCTCGGCCAAAATTTAGGATTCACCACCCTGAGCCACAAAAACAAGAGTTATTGCAAAATCAATGCCAACTCATCTACAAATGGATGTGTGTGAACCATTGTGAACCCCAAGCAAACCAGGTGGCGTGGGTAAGAAAGCCCCCTTAGAAGCTCAAGAGCCCCGATGCCGAAGAAAGTCGCCCAGAAGCCTTACGGCTGGAGCCCAAAGCTCTGAAGTTTCAGGCTTTCAGAGAAACCCTTAAAGGCTACAGCGGCTACAGTGGCTACAGCCCCCAAGACTGAAACCTAAGGCCTCCCCAAGCTCTGAAACCTTAAAGTTTAAGGCCTAGTGTTTAGGGAGCTTAGGGAGGTTTAGGGTTTAGCCAGCCGTTCCCTTCACTGTCTTTAAACTGAGGGGTTCATGAATGAAAGCATTGCCCCCATCTTCCAGGGATCTGCCCGCACCTTCCAGGGCTCAGGCCCCTGGTTTGATGGGACGAGAGGCACGCAAGCAGAACACACAATAGCAGCCAATCAAAACTTTCACTGTTGAATGCAGGTGTTGGCCCTAGTCAGGCGAAACATGCATCAAGGCCTTCTGAAGCACACGCCGATGGCCGAAGACCGTATTGAAACTTCTCTTCTGGCCGTTAGGTCCGGTGGCACATGGAAGTTTGTGCTCCCAGGCCCTGGGCAAAAGTGAGCATCCTGCTGCAGCATGGCTCTTCTTGCCTCGCAGTGGCGGAAAGGCCTTTAAGATCTCGACCCTGCCTCCCTCCATTTGCAAGAGTGGGATCCTTTAAGGCCTTGCGGACTTCCGCTGAAGGTTTGTTTGGCCAGGTTTTGGGGGACAATAGGCATCCTGGCGGAACGGACAATAGCCTTCCGCCTCTCTGGTCGGGTTGTGCGATCTAGGCAGCGGAGGCTGAAGGGAAAGGGAAGCAAGTCTGGTCGAACCGCTTTGCACGCATTGCAGACAAAGCGCATCCTGGCGATCATCAGCTCTCGTGACGGACAATTTCTATAACTTGTGCATCCGAGCATCTACGGCGCCGGTATTCGCAAAACTCTTGAGATCTAGCGAAAGCCGAGCACAGCGTGCCCCAAAGGAGATTTTTTCAAGAAGAAAGCCTCCCACCTGCGTCCTTGTGAGTCAAATCAGAAACGCAAGCTCCAAATTGGCCGGACTTTCTGAATCAACACTGCGTCTGAAAATTCAGGCGTGGCGCTCAGATGCTAGTACCCCCGGAGCAATCCAGAAACTAGCAAGGCTAGTAGCTGCATCATCTCTGATTCTGGCACTTGTGTAGGTTTGCATGTGTGAAAATCGAAAAGAAGATGCCTGGAATAGTCGGCACCTCGAAGTATTGTCAGCACATTGTGCCAAAGCGATGAAAGCGTGCATTTGGCCCTTTTTTCAGCACATTCTCAGGTGACCAATTTGTATGTGAAGTGCTTTAAGCCCAAAAAGTCCACGGCCAACACCCGAGACCGTCAGTCTGGCGAGGTTTGGGCAGCATGGGCGGTCTCACGAGGAGCTTTCGCAACGTACGTCCATCAGTTAGGTCTTTCAGATGGACTCGGCAGGCCTTGCATTGGTCTCGTGCCGTCAACAGCTGGCTTCGAGCTCCTTTGCCAACGGTTTCACTACGGATCACTACGGTGCGCTCAGCATCCAAGATCTCGCACAGATTGCGCTTCAAAGGCCACTCTTCTTGCCTCGCAGTGGCAGATGAACCCTTAAGGACTTCTGCCGCAATTTGCTTCTCCTACAACAGCTGAGACACGCCTGTTAGGGTG